GGAAAAAGGGATTTTTGGGAGGAAAATTGGGAATTCTTTGGGTAAAAAATGGGATTTTTTGGGAGGAAAAATGGGAATTTTGGGGGTAAAAAAAAGGGAATTTTTTGGGTAAAAATTTGGATTTTTTTGGGTGAAAAATTGGGAATTTTTAGGGGGTTAAAATGGGAATTTTTAGGGGAAAAAATGGGAATTTTTGGGTTAAAAAATGGGAATTTTTGGGTTAAAAAATGAGAATTTTCTGGGTGAAAAATGGGAATTTTGGGTTAAAAAATGGGAATTTTTGGGAGGAAAATTAGGAATTTTTTGGGGTAAAAAATGGGAATTTTTGGGGGTAAAAAATGGGAACTTTTTTGGGAGGAAAACCAGGAATTTTTTACCTAAAAATTTGGATTTTTGGAGGAAAAAAGGGAATTTTTGGAAGGAAAATTGGGAATTCTTTGGGTAAAAAATGGGAATTTTTAGGAGAAAAATGTGGGAGTTTTTGGGTAAATATTTGGGATTTTTTTGGGTAAAATGGGAATTTTGGGGGGAAAAAATGGGAATTTTTAGGGGAAAAAATGGAAATTTTTTGGTTAATAAAAGGGAATTTTTTTGGGGAAAATGGCCTTTTTTGGGTTAAAAAAATGGGAAATTTTGGGTTAAAAAAATGGGAATTTTCTGGGTAAAAATTGAGAAATTTTGGGTTTATAAAAGGGATTTTTTTTTGGGTAAAAATGGGAATTTTTGGGGAGAAAAATGGAAATTTTGGGGGGAAAAAATGGGAATTTTGGGGTAAAAATTTGGATTTTTTTGGGTGAAAAATTGGGAATTTTGGGGGGTTTAAAATGGGAATTTTTGAAGGAAAAATCGGGGGAAAATTCTGCAAAAATTGGGGAAAAATCGGAATAAAATTGGGGGAAAAATGGGAAAAAATGTGAAAAAAAAATTGAATTTTTTTCCTGATTTTTTTTGTTTAAAAAATTCCCCAAAAAAATTCCGTAAAAATTCCTTAAAAATTCCTAAAAAAAATCAATTTTTTTTCTCTTTCAGGTCCAGGAAACCCGAGGAGGAAACGGCTGCAAAATTCTCAATTTTTGGCACTTTTTTAACCCATTTCGGAATTTTTTTTCCGAAATTTTGGAATTCCAAAAATTCCTTTTTTTTTAAACAAGAAAATAAATAAAATTTTAAAGAATTATTTTTTTTCCGGATGTAAATAATTTTAAATATTAAAAAAAAAATTATTAAAAATTCCCAATTAAAATTGAATTTATTTTGATTTTTTGCTTTTTTTTTTGGTGGAAAATTCCACGTTAAAAAAATAAAAAAATTTTAATTTTTTTTTTTGGGAATTCCGGAATTTTGGGGTGGTAAAAAAAAAAAAATCACCCCAAAATTTTTGTAAATAAATAAAGAAATAAAAAAAATTTAATTTTAAATAAAAAGAGAAATTTTTTATAGGAGAGATGAAAAATAAAAAATATCAGGTGGGAAATAAAAGAGAAATAAATGGATTTATTCGGAATTTTTTTGTGCGTGGAATTTTTGGGGAAAAATTGGGAAAATTGGGGAAAATGTGGGAAAAAATGGAAATTTTTGGGTGAAAAATTGAATTTTGGGGGAAAAAAACGGGAATTTTTGAGGAAAAATTGGGAATTTTTGGGGGAAAAAATTGGGGGTTTTGGGTGAAATTTTAGGGAAAAATTGGGAATAAATGGGGAAAAAATGGGAAAAAATTTGGGAAAAATTAGGGAAAATTGGGAATTTTTTGGCAAAAAAATTGGGAATAAATGGGTAAAAATTTGGATGAAATGGGGGGAAAATTGGGGGGAAAATGGGCAAAAATTGGAATTTTTGAAGAAAAAAATGGGGAAAATTTGGAGAAAAATTGGGGGTAAATGGGAGAAAATTGGGCAAAAAATTAGAATTTGCAAAGGAAAAAATGGGGGAAATTGGGAATAAAATTGGGAATAAATTTGGGAAAAAATGGGGGAAAATTGGGTGAAAAATGGGGAAAAATTGGGTCAAAAATGGGGAAAAATGAGAATAAAAGGGGAAAAATTGGGCAAAAAAATCGAATTTCTGAAGGAAAAATTGGGGAAAAAATGGGGGAAAACAGGAATAAAATGGGGAGAAATTCGGGAAAATTATGGGGGAAATTGGGGGGAAATTGGGGAAAAAATGGGCAAAAAATTGGAATTTTTTAAGGAAAAAATGGGGAAAAATGAGAATAAAATGGGGATTAATTGGGGAAAATTGGGGGAAAATGGAGAAAAATGGGCAAAAAAATCGAATTTTTGATGGAATAAATTGGGGGAAAATTTGGGAAAAATTGGGGGAAATTTGGGAAAGATTGGGGGAAAATTTGGATTAAAATGAGGATAAATGGAATATTCGTATAAAATTTGGAGAAAAATTTGGGGAAAATTTTGGGAAAATTGGGAAAAAAATTGGACAAAATGGCGGAAAAAATAGGCAAAAAATGGGAATTTTTGATAGAAAAACTGGGGGAAAATGGGGAAAAATGAGAATAAAATGGGGAAAAATTGGGGGAAATCGAGAAGAAATTCGGGAAAATTTGAGGGAAAATCGGGAGAAAAATTGGGGAAATTTTGGGAAAATTGGGGAAGAATTGGATAAAAATTGGGAAGAAATTGCGAATAAATGGGGAAAAATTGGGGGAAAATTGGGGGAAAATTGGGGGAAAATGGGCAAAAAATTCGAATTTTT